ACATTTTGATTAAAATCTTTTATAAATGATTATTTATCCATGAATTATAATTTAGATTACAATTTTGACATTCAAAATGTAAACCTTTTGTTAATTATTCAACTCTTAGGAACCTACATTTTTGTATTTCACTTAGTCGTTTTATATACATAAATAATATAATTTAATATGAACAACAGTGTATGGAGCTGTTTAGTAAATTAGTACTATACTATATTATGTAGACTATACCACCATTTAATCTATTCTGTGATAGATACCACCACGATATAGTATTGTACATAAAAAGCCTATCCATAACGCCGTGTTATCACAATTGACTATTGTATACTTGAAATGCATCAATATAGCGATATTTTATTTTAATACTTACTAGATGTAAAAACTATGGTATCAATTACAAGTTAAGTTATGATCGATGTTAAATTTTCACACCTACTGATCACTAGACACTATGTCAATGCTAATAACAGTATCTATAAAATACTGAGCGGTCAATTAATATTTAATACTTAGTATATAATTATTATAAATTATAATACACCTAAATCGTTATAAATTATTGATAAATTATCTATATTACAGCTAAAAATATGCTTTGGGTGGTTGCCGCAGTGCCGCAACAACCGTAGGGGTAGCAGGGGCAATTCCCCTGTAGAGGTCCACTAACCGTCGGCTCAGGGGGCCCCGACGGCGGCGCCCCGCATCTATTTTAAACGAAAAAACCATAAGTATGTCTTTAATGAAAAAAATTGAATCATTTGATTTTGTTTTAATTTTATGTGTATGGGAGAAAATACTGCGTCCATTACATGGTGTATCAAACAATTTGCAGTACAAAGATACAGATTTACAAAAAGCCCGTGATCAACTGGAAAACGCATACCAATCGATTAAAAAATTAAGAGAAAATTATGATGTGCAAAACTGTTATGTTTAAAATGGGGAATATCAACCAAATATAAGGCAACTCGACCACAATTTGCAAAAAAAATTTTTGATGATGTTGATGGAGACCGAAGACTGGAAATAACTGAAGAAAATTTCAGAATTAAAGTGTTTCTTCCTGTTGTCGACACTGTATTAAGCTAATTAAAAAACCGTTTCTTAGGCCCGCAGAACGTATGTAGTACTTTTGATTTTCTCAGACCTCAATCGATTATTGAGTCTGGGGAAAATGCAATTGTTAAAGAATCATATGACTTTGTAATTAAATATCAATCAGATATAAGTTCTGAATTTACCAGTCAACTTATCCCTCTTAAGGAAATGATCATAGTCAAAAATTTAAAAACAATTGGTGAACTTGCAACATTTATCCTAAAAAATGATTTTTCTATAAGTTACTCTGAAGTACTAGGAGCCTGCATGCTATTCTTAGTATTGCCTGTTACAGTTGCCTCTGCAGAAATATCATTTTCTAAATTAAAACTTATTAAGAACTTTCTGAGAAATTCTATAACACAAGATCGTATGACTAATATAGGCATATAGCTATACTTAATGTAGAACAAATTCGTACATCAGAATTAAATTTAGAAAAGGTTATAAATGATTTTGCTAATTTAAAAGCAAGAAAAATGAATTTCCATTCTTAATTTGAATGATTCTATTTCTATAGCACATATTATTAAAGTATTATGATTTATGACACATTTACAATGACTTGAACTAAGTTATACAAATGCATTCCATATTGTTTGTAATTATTTTTTTCTATATAAATAAGTAGTAAATACCATATATTATGAAATTTGTTGAATTAATGTCTAATATCAAGTAATAAGTATAATAAATTGATATCTTATTAATTATTATTATTTGTATATGTTTGTGATACATTTTTTATCATTTTAAATTTGGTAAAGATTTTTTTTATGCAACTAAATGTTTAAATATAATATAGGTGCAAACAATCTTTTTGCTATGCAATATTTTTTTTACAACCATATATTATTACAAAAGCTTTAATTAATATTTATAATAAAAAAGAACACTTAAAGTGTGTATAGTTATATTTTAATAACAATACACTGGTCACTGGGTATAGTGGGCCTTCACATTATATTTTTAGGCTTTAAAAAAAAATCTCCATTATTATTTATATTTTTATAAGTAACCTATAAAAAATATTATATACATAGACCTCGGGGGGCCCCAAGAATCCTAGTTGCGGCACTGATGGTAGGGCTGAACATTTGCTTATCGATATATTATAGGAGAGGCATATATTTTAGATCCATCTTATGTATACAATTTTGGGTACCTGTGTTGATGCCATGGGTGTATAACACTTCATACTTTTGTAGCATCCTTCATGAAGGTTAGGTATAATAACAATTTTAATATATACTTACTGACTGATGGTAACATTCACAAAAAACTGAAACTATTTTTAAATTTTCCAAAAATGTCGGGAAAGGATGCAGTCCCCTCAATTTCCGTGACTAAACATTTTGTACTGAATTATATTTAAAGTTTACTAATTTATGGTGAAAACTGAAATTATTATTATTACTATCGTATAGTATACTACCTAATACCTATATTATAGTACACGTAACTGCGCAAGTAAATACAATTGATATTTGATAGTATTAAACAAATTAAAAATAAATAGATTTTTGGTAACAATAAAATGTATTAAACACAGTCGTTCTTCTTTGAAGATTAATGTCTAGTGTTTTAATCCAATTAATCATCATCCATGACATCCTGAAGTTCTCGCATTGTACCTGCACTAGAGGGCAGAGAAGACGTTCTTAGTGTGGAAGTAGATACTCATCAGGACGAGTAGTATTTTCTACATATCTTTTTTAACTGTCTGTCTAGCGTCACTCCTAGGTATTTGAAATCTAGTCTTATATGAGAGTACTACTGCTGAACACAATATTGGGTTGGTAATTGGTCAGACGATTGTTTAAACGAAAGGTTGTAACGTCAGTTTTAATTACGTTAGGTCCGAGTCGCCGAGTATACCAAGGTTTTTGGTTTAGTATTTTTTCAGTGGTTTCGAATTTATTGTTTTGGACAGCTGTAGTGGTGTAATATCACCAGCGCAACCAAATTTCTGCTATATTGTGTTTGGTATAGGTTATTAATATAGAGATTGAACAAGATTCAAACGATAACGGAGCCTTTGGTAACCTATCGTTCAGCCGTTTCGATTATATGTCTCTCCTAAACGAACTGTGAACATACAATTGATAAGTATTTTGTTATTTCGTTCATTCAATGTGTACCTATAGTGTAAGACAGAGGAATAGTTCCAAGAGTTTTGTGAGGAGGCCTGTTCTCCAAACTATGCCGTATTCAGCTGTAAGATCGACTATCATAAGCGTAGTTTTAGATTATTTTGAAAACTGTTTTCTATAAATGAAGTTATGGTTGCTACTTGATCTTGTTCTTTGGGGGCCACTCGATCAATAATTGGACTAATGCGATATTAAATAAATCGTTCAAGGAACTTGTATAGCTAACGTTTAGTAGTATGATGATAGGTTGGTAGTTTTGTGAAATCTGCAATCGTTTAGTATAATAAAATTAATTATATGATAAATGATCAAACATTTAATATTAATAGTTGGTGGATATAACAAAATTATCATATTGTTATGAATTATAATATCTTGAGTTGAAACCGTGCTCGAAACTTACAATTAACCACCAGATGAATAGGTAGGTGTCAATAATATCTATAATAGTAGCTTAAGCTGCTTAACCCAGTTACTTCAATTAAAAAATGTAACTAATTAGTGAATAGTCTCAAAGGGTTTAGTACTGGGTTAATATAACCTAAATGTATAAAAAAAATTATAAAACATTTTTTATAAATTTATGCATGGTATAGTGAGAATATTATGGGAAATATATCAACTTTTCTTTGAAAACAAAACAAATAATAACTTAGACCTACAAACAGTTGTAGCATAGTAAGTAGTAGTGATAGAATACAAATACATATTTTATACTATACTAACGTAAACTACGGAAACGAAAGAAAATCCAAATTATGAAACAACTTAACAACTTATAATATGAAAAGAAAAATTAGTTTATTTTATGAAATAATATATTAAAATAGAATTATATTTAACAAATAATATTGAAAAAAATACACTTAGATACAGTATATCGATTGCAGTATACACTGTGTACGGTAAAATGTGTATCCAATACAATGTGTAAAATAACGATTAATGACAAATTTTACAAATTTGATAGAACCTATTCAAACATCTGTTAGTGTTTGTAAGGTGCACAGCATTTTTTCGAATTACAACATTCATTCGTTATACTTATTACAAATGTATAATGTAGGTACCAATGTAATAGTACATAATAATTAAATAATATTATAGCAGGTAAACAGTGGAGAGATTTTATAACCAGTATGAAAAAAAATCAAAGAACAACCAATCTGAAGAAATAACTGAAGCAGATAAATTATTCAAGTTTTTAGTGCAAAATCTCATAGATATCTCCTTTTACTAGTTTGGTAAAAATAAATACCTATTTAAAATTTGATTTTTTGGCTTTGGCCTTACCCCCACCACTCCTCACTATTCCAAAATCCTGGCTACGCTTTTGCAGTTACATATTTATATTATAGTAGGTACCATATTTGTTGTCGCCGGTCGCGTGGCGATTGCCCAAGAATCGAGGGATAAGTATAATAACAATAATTAGGAAGTCTGATTTTTGTTTATACTTCTACGTCTTGCATTATAATCAACAATCATACAAATATACAACGATTTAAACATTTGATTGCAGCTCGTATGCAACCAACTATTCGTGTTTTTGTATGTACAATTAACCTATGCCCAATTGTAAATAGGTATCCAAAATTATTTTTTTCAAACACGTTATGTGTCTATCTCAGAGAGGAAGCGATGAATAGGGAAAGAGCGATAGAGTGAAGGACTAATAGATTTTGACTAGTTATGTGGGTGTGAGTAGGAGAGAGTGGTAGAGAGACGGTTTTTTTGAAGTTGCTTGCTGATTAGCACCACATCATTATTGTCCTTCAAATGGGATTACTAGATAGGTCCACCAGTAAGTAAGTGAACATCTGAAATTTCTTCAGTGCAATTAACTTGTACTTGAGGCTGCTAAGTCCGTCTGTTTCGATTCTTAGGAAGCTTTTTAAAAGCAGCTCTCGCCTGTGAGACAAAACAAAAACGCAATATGTCGTTATAGTTATTATACTAATTGTATTATTGTTTTATAGTTATCATCATAAGAAATTTAAATAAAATCTATCTAGGTACGTTCCTATAGACGAATACTGATTGTACAACAATACAGGGCGTTAATTGTTTATTTAATAAACTGTTAACTTACGGAAATCACCAATCAAGATCTTATTCTAAAAATATTGAAAGTTGTTGATCTTTGCCTTTTGGAATTCCTATAAATGTTTTCGTTTTCACCAATTAAAATATCGACCTATTCCACGTTTACACCAAACAATTTCTATACCATTAAAGCATTAATACAATATATTGTATTGTCCATACATTTTTTTTAGTACTACGATATTGTTTAGCTTAGATTCTGAGAACATTTTTCCAGAAAATATAAGAACAATGTTGACGTAACTGCGCTGTGTTAACTTTTAGATTCTAAGGGGAGCAAAGAATGTATTGATTTTACAATGATGTATGTATTTTGTACTTATATTTTTGTGTGTGTATGCATGATAATTAAAATGATGGAAACAGGCATTATAATGAAAAAAAAGAAAAAGTTCACTTTTTGTGAAATGTGTACTTATTTCTCAATACGAGATTAATAATATAAATAGTTAAAAATCATCAAAATATATTCATATTCAAATAATATTATAGATTTTAGATACTCAGCTGATTTGCTTATTTATACCTTTTAGGGTTGGCCGTTTGAACTCTGTGTGAACACGAATGGTAACGTGCCACGTCCGGAGGGTATCTGATGATTTTGAGTTTTTTAGCAATGACCCGATTTCTCAAGTCATCGTCTTCGGCACCCCATCCCCAGTACATGTTACTGAATCCATTGATCAGCTTGAAATGCGCTTGACTCATGGCCAAAACTCCACCAAAGTATTCTTTGTACGGCAGACTAAACACATCGTAGTCGTAATAATTGATGTTCCAATCCCATTCGATTGATGTTTTAATACAACAATTTGTTAAAAAAATTTTTTCGGTTTTCTCAACCATGGTCAATTCAAATTTGATAGTACCGTTAATATTAAGGCAATTATTGCAATTATTATTATTCTTTTATTATTGTTGTTATTCAAATATCAGTATAATAAATTGGAATCGAGCCTATTTTAATTTGCAATCCTAACACTGCTATAATATTATTCTATTCAATTTTTAAAGTTACGTTTTGACAATTGTCTCTCTTGTTTATCTTATATTTTTTATCCAGAACATCTTTCAAAATAATCATTATTATTTACATTTATTAGTTTAAAAGAGTCTTCTAGTAAACATAATAATATACGATATTACGATCGTGTAACGATTTATAAAATTGAGTTTTGACAATATTGATTGTATAAGACATACCAAATGATAACACTATCAACAAAATGTAATATATGAAATTATTATTTTAACGATGATTACTACTACTAATTATATTGATAAATCAACATTTAAAAAAAAATTTAGTTTGAAGTATTTATATTTTGTAACATTAATTATTAAAAAATATTTGGTTTTATAATATGAAATTAAAATAATAGGCTATCGTAGAATAAAAAAAACATAACTTAATATTTGAAATAAGCGCTGCAAAAATATACTATATATTTTAAGATAAATATTGGTTGAGGTGATGAATGATCGTTGTTAAAATTATAACCAATAAGCAACAGTATAACCATAAAAAATGTATGATCAACAAGTGACAACTACCTGTAACGCCATTTATCAACAGCTACTGCCATATGTCTTGGTTGATCCGGACAGTTGTATATGTTTCTGTAATTCAGTGGTATTAGGTCCACATCGTGGAAAAAGAAACAGTCAAAATCGTTTAACTTTAATGCTTCAGTAAACCCAACGTTCATTAACATGCCCCGGTTAAATAGTTCACCGTCTATTTGATTATAAAAAAAAAATTATCAGATAATTTCTAAACGTTTACTAATCAATGGGTAATTGGGTTTTAATAAAAAACAATTTTATTAAAACGAACCTTGTTCAATTAAAGACTCATTGAACTGTTCTACAACAAAAATAGTATAATCCAACTGTTGTTTCGTTAAAAACGGATGTAAATTTAAAAGTAACCAACAGAGGTTTGATAGTCGGTCTCTATAAGGCACTATGATCGCAATTTTGTTCCTAGCTTGGCAGTCAAAAGGCATTTGGTGACCTCCTTCAAAAAGTCTCAGCCATGCTAACTGTTGCGCCACTTCTTCCAACTTCTCCCGAGCTGGTGTAATCAAAGACACTGTTTCATCTTTAAAAATAAATAAATACAAATGTATAGTTTGTTATTAAGAATTACATGTTTATTAATTTGTTTTTTTAAGTACATCCATGACCATAGGTGAAAACAGAAAAAAAGAGTACCTACAGTGATATACAGAGTCCATTAGTGACCTAATGAGATGTTATAGCTTATAACTCAATTTTGTGATGTGCTTGTAATTCGATTGAGCCAAGTAACATTTGTTACAAATATTTCTTGTGTGATCTTAATTTGAGTGTGGCATTGGGCTAGTGCTATAATATAGTTGTGGTAATCATTATACAATTTTCGACAAGTAAATATTTTAGAAAATGGTGGAGCTCAAAATTCGTTTTTGTGTAATGTCAAAATCAAACTTTTGCAACAATAAAATATTATAATATATAAATTTACAAAAAATATTTTACTTGATTAAAATATTATAATTTAAAACATAACATAAATTAAAAGATACAATGTGGCCCATGCGGAAGTTACGAGCCGGCGTTATATGATTGCATACTTAAAGTTAAGAAAAACCTCTTTTAAAAGGGGGGGGAGGAGATTTTTAACTTTTTATTTTTTCAAAACACATTTCCTTATGTATTTTCAAAACTTTTAATTTTTTCAATTTTAAAACTTTATTTTATTCAGAAAAGTTCATTAGTCGTAATTCACTCTGGCCAATCACTCAATAGTTGAATCATATGCATTTTATTTATTTATAACATCTATAGAAAATTGTAAGGGGTTTTCTACGACCGCGCTTACCGAAAAAACTACTGAACCGATTTGGCTGAAATTGTTTACTGTTATACCCAACACTCTGCTGAAGGTTTTAGTACCACTTTTGTCAATAAAAAATAAGTATAAAGTTATTATTAATAAAAATAAACGTTTAAACTGTATATTTATACCTTTTTAGTAAGAAATAGTCACTGGCTGAAAATAAATAGCAATCAAAATCTCTCGCGTTGCCCGGCAACGATTTTGATTGTTTTTTATTAATTGTTTATTGTTAGAGCATAGTTTGTGCTCAGTTTTAAAAAAATATTTGGTTCTACTTATGAAGGTTTATTGGGCATGCTAATAGAGTTAAATTTTGGGTAAGTGGCCAATTCATCATCATACCGAAATCGCCAAGAGCACGGATCTGCAGAAGAACTGCCAATGCTACTCGAATGTATAACAGAAGGCAACAAGATAACACACCAGAACGTTCTCAAACACGTGCACAGCAGCAACGTAACGCTTTGAGTCTGAAATCAGCGTTTAGTTATCGATCAGTGATTGATTATTTAAATATTACAGCGATTCAAATAGGACCAATGGCTACATTATGTCCTAAGTGCAATGCAAAAAAATGGAAAGATGAAACCCATGGACTTTGCTGCGCTGAAGGTAGAGTTGTTTTACACCAGTTCGAGGATCCTCCAGACCTAATTAAAAGTGTAATTGATAATCCTCACCCTCTATCAAAACATTTCTTAGTGCTCATTTTACAGTGGAATCAATCTGAAGAATAATAAAACATATAGTGATATTTTTGATAAGTGTTTATTCGTCAGGTTAGTTTAGGCAATCACGCCTAAAATTTTAAACAAATTTAGGTCACCGTGGGCCGCCGTACCACTATATGTGTATAGGTATACAATTTGCATGTTTATTTTAATTAATGACTAATTTTCCGCTCAACTTTCTTAATTTTTTGGTAAAATTTGGTATTTTTTAAGTTTTTTGGTTGCCATTAGTTAATAGGGCAGATCAGGTTTAAGAATGCATACAAAATTGAATTTTGGTACATTATCTAAGAAGTTGGCTGTCGGCTGAGTTACACTTATAGCCGCTCATCGGCGTGTACACAATCAAAATAATTAACTATACAAATTATAATTATAACTATAGAATCATTTTTTAATAAAAATATGTGTATAGATCATTAGAATCATTAGTAAGTATTATTTTTTTTTTTTGACAGGATTTTTCAAAATTAGATCTCTAAAGTGGTAAAAGGGGGGTTTTAAAACAGCTATATAGAATACATGGGCAACTCCGTGACGGGACAGCTAGTATATATATATTATACTTGATTATAATAAAGGTATACAGGATAATAGCATGTCATATTAAAAATATTTCAATTATTTTTATAAAATTTAAAACACAAGTCATTTTTATCATTTTATACTGTCTTTATTTTCCCCGATATTTATTAAGGAATTCGTGAGAACTACAAAGAATAAGAACAATATATTATAATGAATGGTTGAGCTTACAAAAAAATTAAAGTTAAAAATATGTCTGACATTTTATTAAAATACTTGGTATCCTGTCCGACGTTGTCCAGGCCCACGATTTCTATTTCTAATAAATATATTTGTTAAAAAATGTATATTGTTAATGCCATAAACATTTTTTTTTAAGGTAAACTGAAAAAAATCCAATTGTGAGATACAGCTAGACCCTTAAGCTACCTAAAGGAATTAAAAACATAAGCTATAAACACCCTCCAAATTTCAAATTATCTATTGATAAAACTTTTATTATAAAAACATCCAGTTGTTTATTGAGGCTATTAACTTCGGATGAACTAACATCCAATTGTAATATTATACAAACAGACTTCGCCCTTGAAATAATTAAAAAATACAAAATATAGGTTAATATATGTAGCTTAATTTTGGTATACCTCAGTGGCTAAATTCACAGGCAAATTTGATTCGACGTACATCGGTTTGTGAACTAATTTGACCAATATGTTGAAGTACGTCAATTCACTTGTGGTGGATTTATGGTTGGCGGTATTGAAATCATAAACCGGTATTGTGGTATTAGATTCGGTACCAATATGAAACGCTTTAAGCTTAAAAAAACCTAAAGGTGTCCTGACTGACGTTATCTGGGCTAAATATTTGTATTTTTAACAAATAATAAATATATTTTTAAAAAAAAATGTGTAGATATGCCATATTAAATTGACCAACACAGAAAACTCGTTAGTGGTGGATTGGATATAGCACTTGGTATAAATCAGACTACTCTCAAACTACTCTCTACACCTTTTTGATATCACCAAGAACAATTTTAAATGTCCACGATATCGGCCTATATTAGCTACAAATATACATTCAAATCTCATTTTTTTTAAAGATATAATTATTTATTCGAAACTATTAAGTGACAATTTGATGCATGTTTTTACATCGTCTATCCGAGTAACTAATGGCAACCATTTATAAACAAAAATGTCCATTGTAAATCTCAAAATCCGGGTTAGTGGTGCCTGGTCCAATTATGCATCTAAACCATCCAGGGAACCATTTAAACACACAAAAAGTTTCATCAAAATCAATACAGCCGTAAAGGAGTTCAGTGACATACACGGACAGAAGAAATACATACATAAAGATATTAAGTAAAATGTTTTATACATTTTAAATGTAAAAACGTTTCACAAAAAAAATCGTTTTGTTTTTTAATATAGATAAAGCTAGTTTTTTAATCTACGCTAATAATAAAATATTTTCACATGAACTAAAGAATCTTCTGATATTTGTTGAACCTCCCTGGCACAATTAAATAATATAGGAGGTATTTATGATATATTCATCCATTTTATAGGTATAGCAGTCCAATAAAAAATATACAGGATGGGGCAATGGGTTCTGACGAATTTTAATTGTAGTTTATATATAAATCGTCAAAACCCACCGCCCCATCCTGTATAATTGTAAAATTACTTAACGCTGGTGGTATTTCTGGACACAACAAGAGATGATTGACTTTTATTTCATTATCTTGAATTTTATGATCAACCTGTAACATGTATATATTTTTTTGTTAATGTGAAAAATCAGAAGTTTGAAGAACTACCAAAGTTGAATGTCTGTAGTTAATACTTAAAGGTTAAAATACGTTCTGAATGAAGTTTTATTTACATTGAAACTATCAAGTATCAAACAATATCTTTGTTTTTTGTTTTTTTTTTGTCGATTCTAGCATTTCTAATGAGAAACTCTATGTTTGTGGATTTATATAAATTATAAATAAATTACTATATAAATTATTTTATTTATACTATACTAAATATTAGAGAAAAGTTTTCAAAAGTGTAGTACATATTTTTATTTCGGTAAATAATACTTTCATCATCAAAGATAATATACATTTAATGTCAAATATTTTAGCGTATACATACAAGTTAACAAATAATCCACTACTTATACAATTCTCATTATGAACACTCTATCGACATGTTTCAAAAATGACAGTGAATTATTACAGTAAAGTAATGTTAACAGTAAAGAGTATATTATATACATAATATAACAATATTATACAGATGTTTTTTGTTTACTTACCATATCCAGAATACTAGAAAGGTTGAGGCGAGGGTTTGGCCCAGGGCTGGTTGGTGGAACATTGTATTTTACTATACTAGTAGATAGATTGTAGTTTACTATACTAGTGAATAAATTGTAGAAGGGACGTGTTGTTTCGTTGTAGTAACAGACAAATAATAGCTGCACCAGTAGGCAAGCTATACCGAATCCGAATAAAAATTTTACACGCGAGAGTGTTAGTATGTACATTATAGATAGTAGTTCATAGTTGATAGTTCACATGATAGTGAAATCTGATTCAATGGCTGAAAAATAAAAACAAATTTAATATAAAACAATCTCATAATTTATAATAATTCTGTTGTCAGTTTGTCACAGATTCTGAGCGGACAGATGAATGTAGTTAAGGATTTTACAATGATGGTTTTTGTTTTTAGTATTGTGTGTGTGTACAAAATTTATAGCAGAAAAAATAATTTGTATTCACCTTCAATATATTTTTTAGTAGAAAAATGAATTTAGTTGATACTGATGAATGGCAAAAGCAAAAATTGTCCAGTACTTTTCTTAACATTTTTAAATTGGGAAACCAAAAAAAAGGCCGGCAAGTGGTAAACTCCACTAAAAGTGTGGACCTCCACCAATGAAAACATTTAAAAAAGTTTAAAGTTAATAGATATAACAATATTTTAAATTAAAAGTTATATTTAAACTTCCATTCAATTTATTAAGTTAAGTTAAGTTATATATTTTTTTGTATATAAATAGACGGTAATATTGTTTAAAATAATAAAAAGTAAATGTTCATGCAGTGTGCATCATCGTCAATAATAATTGTATTACATTTATTATTTAATTATTTAAAAATTAACGTAACTTGGATTTTATTGAAAATAGCTCGTTAATTATTAAGATAATAATGAAAATTAGTTGAGAACAAATTTAAGTTAATGGAAAATAAATTTAAAAGTTAAATGAGCTTGACTCGTTTTAACCACTTTTTAACTCGTTTATGTCCAGGCTTGCAAACAATATATAAAACTTAAAAATATAAATAATTATTTCATTTAATAATTATAAAGTGCAATGTAACACATTATAATGTGTATTATGTCAAAAAATCGTTCTTTCACTTTTCAATCTTTAATTTCGTCCAACTTTCAACTTAAAATGTCTATTAAAAATATAACTCAAATTAATATAATTTTTAGATTTTTTTGTTACCGTATGAACTACTTTGTTCAAAATTTTAAATTGTTTATAGAAATTGATCATTTTACACATTTTAAATTATTTAAACTAATAAACAATTTCAAGTATTCGATATTATAATACATTTTGTTAAAAAGTTAAATCCTTAGTATAATATATGATCCAATGTAAAAAAATATGTGCCTCAAATGCTTATAAAAAATTGATGAGACTTCCCGGTATTTTCTTATAGGTAGAAAACTCATGAGAAATCTTGTATTCAATTTTGAAATTTTAAATATAAAAAACACAATTCTTATGAATTTTTAACTACAAAACAGCAAGTACATTTTTTTATCAACATTTAAATTTCAAAATTTCAATAAATTCAAAAAATATTTTGAAAATTATACCAATACATTTTTTTATTATTACAAAACAAATTGTAGATTCTATGAAATAGAAAAAATCGTATACATGCATTTAACCTATAACCCATTAATAATAACTATAAACTTTACTCACCTACTATTATTATTTTTTTTCAATTTGAACCCACATTTATGGCAGTATAACACATATTTAAGATGATTTGTATCACAATACTATCCTACACTGTCTATATACTGGCAATTTATTACTTAATATTCAAACGCATAGTGTGCACATCAATAAATAGATATAATAAATTATAAAAATGTAATTTTTATTACGTATATTATAAATATATCTATGAATAAAAAAAAATATTAACAATGATTTTATTTTTAGTTAATGTTTAACTCAAGTTACCACATTTAATTGTTATATGTGGACAGGTGTTTTGTGTTTTATCAAAACACATAACCATTATTATTCGTCATTGAATTTGGGTCAACATGATATCACCGCATTAAAATTATAAAAATTTGTATTTTATTTGACACGTCTGATTTTTAAATTTACTATTTTCAATTAAACAAATACATGGTGTAACAGAAACACCTGACAAATTACATAACTTTTGTTACAATCAATATTTAAATTTTTTTTAATTTACTTAAAATTTATTAACTCTTGTGCTATACTTATATACAACTTTTCATTTATATTTTTTAATAAGGATAGTCAACATTTTAAATGCAAAAGTAAAAATTAAAATTACGACTGCATCCAAAAATCAGATTTAAAAACTGAGCACTTTATCAGATTTGAAATTTTTCATTTTTGTAATTGAAATATTTTAAACATTATAGTATGCGTGTTACCCAAGCATTTGTAAAGAAAATTGTGAAATAATATTAATTAGAACTAAAGTTATTTCATTCGTCAGGTATTTCTGTTAAAAACCCTGTATAGTCCTGTACCTACCTACATTTAGGTAATTTTTGTTTTTTTTATTCATAAATAATAAGTAATTAAAATACTTAACAATATCCAGTAAAAATATGTAGTTTTTTTGAAAGTAAGTAAAAAGTTTGAAGATGTAGTACAACATTTCACTAAGGTCTTTTACTTAAATTTCATAAATAAAAAAGAAAACAATACATCCTTATACAATTTTTATACACGTAGTTTTTGAAGTTTAAATTTTGATATCATTAGATATTGAAACATAATATAATATAATGATTATTATTATAAATAATATGTCATGAACCTATTCACACCCTTTTAGAGTACCTATGCGATATTGACTTATAATTCACTAACAACAAATAATAATGATTTATAAAATATTTAATATAACTAATAATAATGGGTTATAATAATACCTTAGGTTAAATATACATACTTCTGTGAATTATATTGGACTCACTGCCAGCATATAGAAAAATAATAATAAATAAAATAATATATGCCATGGGTTTGCCAAAAATAAGTTCGATATACCTACCGTATTACTTATTTAATATAAATTAATTATACAATTTTTTTAATTTAGCTCTCTACTTAGAAACTATTTTCGTACTTATACTTTGAGTGACCTGTTTTGTTTATTATTCGGTGAAATGAAAGGGAAACATTTTAAAATTACCTTGAGTCTTGACACTCCTGTAAATTCCCAGGGTGGAATATCCTATAGTTCCGAAATTCACGAAAATACCTACTTAAAACTGGGAAAAATGAATTTTTTTTATAATTTATATGCATTAGTAATGTCAAATGCATTATTTATAATCTAGGTACATATAACATAAAGTGTTGCTCTATACGTAAACAAAATTTATTCATTGAGTATATTTACTTATCATGTTATTGAACAAATGTTTATTAAACTGTATAAATACATATTTCTAAAATAAATTTTTCTAGCATGTTATTAATAATACTTTATTAAAACACATATTTTATGTAGAGATAATTGAGATACGTTACCCTGGCACCCCAATGTCAGAATTTTCTACAGTAAAATATACCACTGTTTGGTAACCAAGTCGTAACCATTCGTCACCACGAATTTGGAATGTGGAACTTCATTTTCACTGCGAAAAATCCATTTTTTCATCCCGTGGGTGCTGCGGTGACGCACCTTGCAACTTGATCTTTCTGTCCGTCAAATTATGTGTTTCATTTGCTCTTGTATATCTTTGACTGGTAGCAGTGCGAATTCTGTGACTTAAGTTTGTTTAAAATTTTAAGCTTGATTGCTTAAATTAACAACAAACAAACACTTACCAAAAAACGGACTGTTAAATTTTTTCATAAATATTCCGATTAAGTCGACTATGAAATGTGAACTAAGAAATTATAAATTAAATATTTTATATTATAAATGGATCTGTATTAAACGATAAGTGATGAGCGTGATGCCTCGACTAAGGGAAATAGGGATTTATTTATATATGTATATATGGATAGATATAGACAGATTGTAGGTCTTCTTCATTAAAATAGCTGGTAAAAAATGATTTAATTGTAACTATTTCCCATTAACTAGCTGGCTACAATCTAACTACCAACCTATACTGGCAGGAGTATGGAGTATAAATTATTTATTTAATAAAAGAAATTTAAAATTAATGTTATTTGATTATATATACTATCAACAGACTGAAGTTCTTATCACTAGACAATTTATAATAAGCCCGATAATGCATTGAAGTTCATAGTGATATTTGCACAAGTAATTTTATTGTCTAGGCCAGTATCCAGTAACTGGTAGCCTGCCGCAAATATTTCATACAATTATTTTTTTTTAATTAGACTAAATGATTTTAATATTTATCTGACATAATTTCATAACTCATTGTATAAATGTCTTACTCGATTTCTGTGTTGTTTTAATAAAACATCGACGTCCGATTGCGATTCAAATCAATATTGCGGGAAAACGAGATAGTTAGTATTTGATTTAAATTTCGTTGGGTGATGAATAAATCTAAATGGAATTTATCCTACACACCACTCTATATGGGTACCGAGAACATATCGCCACTTGTCGACATTTTGAATTCCTAGATCTTTCATACTATTCATACTTACTGTAGTTTTTTGAGGATCTTAAGAACTTGAACACCGACAACGACCGTACAGATAAATGGTGAATTCCAAGTTAGACATAATACAAATGGTAGAGCTACTTCACTAGCAAAATCACAACATTCACAACTATCGCCAAAACTTCACTATCAACCCGGATTAAGGTGGAACCAATAAAATACTAGAAATTAATTCTCCAAATTTAAATTACTAGTATTTCATTGGTTCTACCTTATTTTCGTTGATAGTTGTGATTTGGATCTTTAAGTGACGCTTGCGCCTACCATGTTATATAATGTCCTTGCGTAGTTTATGGACTCCTGGTCTTGGCGTTCGTGGCTTAGACGGGGCGATACCCTTACTTTAATCTAAAAAAATAAGAAAATACATTTTACACTTATATTTTTAATGAAAAAGAATTTTCAATAAACTCCAGTTTTTGATTAATATATTATTATAATTTATAAAACTTATAATTCATTTTTTTGTGTCCGACATTGAATTTTTTCTCTCAGATACTAGGAGCGTATGAGTGCAGATGCAAACACATGCAGTGTTTAGGCAAAACATATCTTCATACGAGCTCTCCGATATAAGTCTGTACACTGTACCTACCCCACGAAGTCTATAGACCATCTTTAATCGTGACCTACACTATAAGCAAAGTGAAGTCGTAAAATTGTGAGCGTTCGGGTACATTTGACCTATCATCTTTTATATTACCTACTCGTTTTGAAAGACCCGCAATGCCGTCCGTACGGAAAATGTTAGTATGTATAGCCATTAGCCATAGATAATAAATATCTATTAGCAATGAGTATAGTAGGTAATTTATTAAATTAACTACTTATGCGTGCGTTGTTGTGGGCCGTTATTGACGATAAGTATTTTTTAACATAATAATATAATATAATTTCACTATCAATATGTCTGTATTCTATAGTCTATACCAGAGGCGGCGAACCTTTTTGTAGTCAAGTGCTAAAACTTAAAATCCAGTATTTTGAAATATGCTCGCGTGCCAAAAAAAAAAATGAATTTTACTAGGTAAGATGAAAATAAAAAGCATGCAATAAATACACATATTTTATTAGGTACACATTTATTTGCAAATTTTTATTTCATATGTTAATGTGATGCGTGCCACTGAAATTTGGTCAACGTGCCACTTCTGGCACGCGTGCCATAGGTTCGCCACCCCTGGTCTATACTATAGCACGATTAAAGATATATAGTAACTAGTATATAAAAGATATATAGTATATCTTTAATCGTGACTATAGTAACTAGTATAATAGTAAACGACAGTTTAGGTACCTTATGAGTTATGACATATTATAGATGTATTAATACGTTGACAAATATAATCAAAGCGACAAAGCTTAATAGTAATAATATAATATGTTTAATTTGTTATTCCGTTGACTAGGGATATCATATTAAAGTCGTACCCCCGTCTCCCACCAACAGCCAACAGGAACCCAAAGCCGCCACTGCAGTAGTATAATTATATAAATATTATTTCTTATACTATGGCGTAATCGTAGAGCATAATGAAAGCGACAATCAAACAGCTGATCCGTAGTCTTACATTATTATGGAGGCTCGGAATGATGTTGTAACCATTTTTTCCATATGTTAATTCAATAAACATATCTTAAACTTAAAGACTTTAAGTATTACTTATGGGGAGGGGAGATGACTTGTTGCATTTGCATGTTTGTTTTGCACGATCATAGAAATAACATAGTAAGAAACAACTACGTTTCATGCTGAAATAAAGATAGTTTTGAAATTTTATTTTGCATATAAATGCATATTTCGAGTATTTTTTTTGGTTTTAGTGCATATTTCTTCGATTTTATAAGTTAAGACTCGGAGCTGGCGTTCCACAATTTTGTCGGGGGGGCTGTGAGATCAAGTATTGCCGACTCAAATTTAATTTATGCCGACTCAAAATTTCTAAAAAAAAAATACGTGAAGTATAAAAATTCCTGGTTTTTCTGTGTTAAGATGTAGTAAAATAGTTAAAACAAAAACAAAATATAGAACTAAAACATTTTAAACCATTTTATGCAAAGTTAAAATATTTTTTACTTGTATTTCATACAGATGTAAAGATACAAGGCTGTCGGAACTATTTTAAGATCTAAAAAATAAGTCGTGTACGAATATAAATCAATCAGTGTTTGTCAATAACTCAAAAAATTAAGTAAATAATAAATTTTTTTTTTTTTAATTTAGCAGACGGCAGATAGCAGTAGGTACATCATATTATTTAACAAAATAGATTATAATATACGGGTACTTGAGATAGGGATTGCCGAATGCCGATTAGCGATGGCAATGATATGCCGACGGACTTAACGTTGTACAACGTACAAAAATAAATATATATTATAGTATTATAAATTATAATACGGATCCTTCCTCCTTAGCCGACAATATCAGTCGGCAGTATTTAGATTTCTAAATCGGTAAATTCTCAACTGCCGGGACCCGTTCCTGTACCATTAAGGCATTAAATATACATTTTTTTTTTTCAAAAAGTATAATTTCCAACGGACAACGGCTCCCCGAAATTGCCGACTGATAGTTACAAAAAAATTCAACAGAGGGGGTGTGACGACCCACCATACCCCCATTGCCGCCGGCCCTGAGTTAAGTTGCATATTTTCAATAATTTATCATTTTATCAATATTTTTACCGTTCTTATTTAATGAAAATTTTTAAAATACAACCAAAACAATGTTGAATTTTAAATTATTGTAAATTTTGATCATATTAATATAGTTGTTAATTGTTCCCATACACATGTTTTTATAAGAAACACGTCTTGAGGATTGCCGATTAGCGGCGATTAGATTTATTTTCCGGTTAATAATTTTATTTATGTACAGATATTGTTCACTGCATAAGGTATTATCAATATGGGGGACGTCGGTCGCAGACATCAAAATTTAAATAAAATATATTAATACAAATAATCTTATTTTTTAATGCATTATAATATGCATAGTAATTTTAAAACGCATATTTTTAATTTTTTTTTTTTACATTTTAGTGCATATATTGTGATTTTTTAGAGCTACAAGTCTTCTGCCCTACAGTGAGTTATGAGCACTTTTTAAGTATACTTACACTAAATGTTATTTAGTGGTAATTAGTTAGCATGAATACAATTAAGACTAATTTATTCATACTAAAATAAAAAAATGGTTGAATTGTATAATTATTAGTACCTATGACAAATATCGCAGAAAAAAGTGATAGTTGTGGATTCAAGGCACGTTCAAGGCATGATTTAAGTGTAACTGAAATATTTAATAAACCAGATAGTGCACTCTCGAAATTGTGAAAATGTAAACAAATCTTTGAACTTCTCAAATCAGCGTGCCAATGATAGAAAAACTAAATTTGTTATGTTTTAGTGAGTTGGTAATATATTATGCTGTATGTTATCAAGTATTTCTCATGATAACATTTTGTTTTTGTATTGTTTTTTCGTGGTAACAAGCGAGTTTTAACTGTTTTTAAGTTCAAATCATTAAAAACTCTCTTATTCTACTACAATTTTGTTGATTGTGTTTTTTGTGTATTCCCGATTTGATATTCTTATTATTATGGATACAAAAAAAGGTCATGGCTCGTCTTGCGCAGTGAAATACTGCAACAATAAGTCAAGGACCTCTGTTGGTATTAGTTATTTTACCATGCCAAAAAATACAGAAAGGTAAATATAAGGCATATTATATTGTATACAATTTAATTTAATTGTTAATAATATTAATTTCAACATAACATACATGGCTACGTCTATTTTATTTTATTCTTTAGACGGTCCAAGTGGATTGAGCTATGTCTGCCTGAATGTATCGACAAAAATGCATTTGTTCAGAATTTTAGAATTTGTAGTGAACACTTTGAGGACAAAATGTTCCTTAATGTCAATAAAAAAAACAGGTTGACAGATTTTGCTGTTCCTACATTATTCAATGGTGAGATATTATTTAGATGTACCTAGGTCTTCAATTGAATATTATTACTGAAGATATTTATACTGTAGATAGTTCACTGGCTGGGTTTTCACAAAAATAGATACCCTTTACTAAATAATTTAATTCTAAATAATTTTAGATGAAATTCTTGCTAAAAGAGTATCAGAGAGTGAAACACATGATCTTTCGACACCAACGGCATACTCAAGCCCTATTTCATACACTGGTACAAGTAAGTTAATTCAATAATAAGTAATAATAAGGCATTAAGGCTGTTGTTAGTACCTACTTCTAGTTTTTTCTTAAATAAAATACTTTGAAAATTCAGTCAAATCTTTACTTTTATAAATATTTTATTAATTTGTATCGTTATCTTTTTTAGGCTTATCTTTAAAAAATACTTCAGACTCATCTTCTCAGACACCAGAACATTTATCATACTCTACACCTTGGGAAGTTGTTTTAGAAACAGAATTGAAAGAAGAAAAGGAAAAAATTAAGAGATATGAAAAATCTGTTACAACTTTAAGTAACGTTTTAGCTAAAAAGTTAAGAAAAATAAATAATTAGCAACATTAAAACATTTGTAATTATTAATTATTAATTATATTTTATTTCTATGTATCAATATGGCCTACGCAATTTGTAGCTGACTGAACATTTTTTTTCCAAATGTGTGTTTTTCATGCTTAATTTGATGATACTTCCAATAATGTCGCTCAAACTTTTAGAAGGTTTTTGACCTTAACTTGAAAGTACCATCAAATTAAGCAAGTATAAACACACATTTAAAAGAAGATAATTTTCAAAGAATTGATTGGGTACCTAAACTGCATTTATGCCTAATTATAATCCAATTGTAGTTTTTTTTTATACATTTCATGTACTTATAAATATTTGCATATTTTGTTTTTTTTTAATAAATAAATACATGTATAAAATGAATCACGGAAAAAAGCCCATGGAAAAAAAACCCACCTAAAAAATTAAAATTTAAAATAAATGTTAATACTTCTATATTTAACTAGCTGACCCAGCCACACGTTGCTGTGGCTCAGTAATTATAATACATTGAATCAATTTTTTACTGATTCTTTGGTACAATCAAATTAATATTTTCTAAAAAAATTTAAAATAGATTCATTCATATGGGATTGAAAATAAAACGTTTCGCCAAAATTTAAAAGTAGGTAATAGGTAAAGTATCGAAATGTTGAAATTAAGCACAAACCAACATAAATATACTTTCTGAATTTACATTTTATTCATCTTATATTAAATTACTTTTTGTAATCAGTGACTTACTTACAAAATATACTATATACATTAAAAACAAATAAAAATAAACTGTTTTAAATGTGGTAGATAACATTGACGTCGAACTACCTGTTATTTTTTAAATTTTAAATTATTAAAACTAATTAAATTATCTAAGTACTACTTTGTGTATAACATTCCTGGTTAACCTGTCTTTCGCTAACATGAAGAAATTTGATAGTTTTCCTACACGTGAGCAGGCAACATACAGCTGTCCATGTGAGAAACATGTGTTTTCCAAATCCAAATCGCAAATAGACATTGTTTGGCCTTGAGATTTATTGATGGTTATCGCAAAAGCTAAACAAATCGGAAATTGGAGCCTTTTAAACGGTATTGGAGATTCTGACACTATCGGGGGAATAAGTGGAACAGGACGATATCTGCTTTAAATTTTCCCGTCAAAATTGTTGCTTCGAGAATATTTTCGGTCATTTTTTTTATGACTAAACGTGTACCGTTACATAATTGAGGTAGGTTTAAATTAAGTAGAAGAATATAATATGGTATCATTCCTGACAAATCCAGAGAATTTTATTTAATCTGTGATAGAACAATGTAGAAGTGACCACAGATATATAAAAATACTACATAGACGACTCTCTATTCCTACAAAGTAAAAATTATGAAGCCTACAAAATGGCCGAGGTTCTCTTATCTAAGAGGTGAATGTTTACAAAATATGTATTATGATAAAATGATAAACCGTAAAATGTTATGGCGGGAAACAAAACTATTAAAAATATATTGATAATACAAAGTACACATTTAGATTAAAATTATAAATATAATTATAATCTTAAATTCTATTATTATTTTAATTAATTGATAATGGCAATAACAATATTATTTATTGTAACAAATGAGAAGTACAATGTAGATAAACATGTTAAATAAAAGTTTCAAGCTTATCCAATACACACATGCTTGAATTCGGTTGATCTGAGTAAAATTCAATTTGGTTTTATTAAGAATGATTTTGATAAGTAAATTTTTAGTTAAGTTACCCACGACAAAATACAAATGCTATAACCTATGAGAATAAATCAATTATGCAAGACCGCCAACTGCCATGACTTAAATAAATAATTATAGTTATAATTATAATATCTAACTTATTAAGGATATATATTTATAGATTGATGTATTATACAAATTTGTATTATCATACCAATCTTTTAAAAGATGATGCACAATGATTAGCTCTTTTAAATAAATTAATAAATTTTAGATTTTTATTGTAATGTGCCATATTAAGTAGTTTATTCTTTTAACAAAATGGGTTATATTTGCTGTGTTTGGCAGTGCAACAGTAAAAGAGTTGCAAATTGTGGTATCCATTTTTTTCGTAAGTATCATTTTGAAAATTGTTTAAATAAAATATATTGGTACATTATCTTTTGATTTTTAATTTTCCTTTATTAAATAAAGAAATAACAAAAAAGTGGATAGATGCTGTACAAATAAAAGGATTTGTTCCTACAAAATATAGCAGGGTATGCAGTAAACATTTCACTCACTTAGATTTTAAAAATATTAAAATATATTTACTTCATTATATCTTATTTTGAACAATGTAGATTACATTAGGAAATAGTGTTTCAAAAATTATAAAGTTATAAGAACCATGAACTTAAAAAGCCTGATATTCATAATATGATAAATAATAAATTGATAACATTGATATCCTATATCAGTGTTGTGAAAATGTAAAATTTTACCTCTTAGATAAGAGAATTTCGGCCATTTTGTGGGCTTCAAAATCATTTCCAAGTCGGCTATCTAGTATTTTTATATATCTGTGGTCACTTCTACATTGTTCTATCACAGATTAAATAAAATTCTCTGGATGATCGGGTTCTTGTTCACCTATAGTCTGAAGATAAGGTCGGGACTCTTTACTCATCATTGTGTACAAAGGAAATTTCAGAACTTATTTAATCCGCTATTTTCATAGCGCCTCTGTTCCAACTTTCTGAATTTTACTATTTACCAACTTCTTACCATTGCTCATTGAGTAGTGGCAAAAATGTTACAAATTAAAAAAAAAAACCTGGTCACCAAGACATCAATTAATAATTTACTATAAGTAAGTTAACAAATTAATAAATAAATTGATGATAATGATCTACTTTAATAATTAACCATATAAAAATATTTTATAATTTTAGCATTTTCAGACATATTTACAGTTTAAGTTGAGTACCTTCTATGTACTACCTATGTAGAATATAACTGCAATTTTTTTTTTATTGCGATTCAATTTTTTATTTTTATGATTTACTTGTTGGAAAAACTGTCTCATTCTCATACGTATGTAATGTATAACTACAAAAGAAATTATATCTGTGACTGTGTAGAGCATGAGAAACTTAATTTTTTTTCACTCAATATCTCTTCTAAAATCAAATCAAAAACATAAGGTGAATTACAATATTTTTGATAAAATAGTAAAAAGTTATATTTGGATGTATAAATCGTCCGAGGGTTTTCGGATTAACTAAAGCTGCTTGAATTTGCTGTGGATATTCTTGATGAGGTATAAATGATGTCTTAAAAACTTGACAGGCTTTTGTATAATATAATATTTTGGTATATATAGATAACAATTTGTAATTTCTAGTAATTCTTGAAATATCTTATACTACTTAAGGAGTGTTTTGTGGAGATAGAAACTTCTATTTTTCAAATGAGAACACTCATTTTACACCTTAAATTATACGGTATATAATTTTTCTGAAATTTTTTTTTGAAGTACCTATCAGTATCAAAACTCATACGGGTAGTTTTTGATTTCATTATTAAATGAAAAATTGGGGGTGAGCATGCTTGGTGAATTACTCTGCACATAATATTTCTGTTTTTTTTTAAATTTTAATTACCATAATATAATTTATTGTGATATTTTAATTTTGATTTTTGTTTACCGCTAAAATATTTTTAATTTTATACATAACCTTAATTAAGTTCAGATCGAGTCACCCAATAAAATAGCGGCAAAAAATTCAACTAAAATGTCCTCTCTAAGCGACCGAATTGATTAACGTTGTTAAATAGGAAAGTTTCCCGACCTTATCTTCTAAGACCGTGATCTGGAGTCTGAACCTAGAAAATGAACCCGTATTCAGGAAATGTTTACTAGGTACTACAAAGGCGGGGTACGCTGCTTGTCGGCTTGTTTACCATTCCCTATTTCACGTATGCCATGACGGTGTTCAAGGCCGCAATCACCCGATTCGACCAATTCACACAGTGTCACACCTCTGATTTCAGTGAACTAAGTGAACAATAGTATTTTGATAGCATATTGATGCTGTCGCTTATAATTTGTATTCCTTGCTTATATTATAACCATAGGTTAGGTTAGCCATGATAGTCGATTATTATCAGGCCTTAGATACTGTGCAAAATCGAGTGACTATGGCCTTGAAAACGGTCTCCGGGGAAGAGGTGGGTATACGTTATAAATTCAACATTTCATATCAATATTATAAATTATTTGAAAAATGTAAAATAACAATATTACAATATTGAATTCACAATAACATATACAATACAGAAAGGCGTCTGAAACTGATAATACCACATATAAAAAACTTAGAATAATTAAAATAGCAGTTGTGTCCCCGGTCAATGGATTGTTTCCTTTTTAAAATTTCGTAACTAACAGGGATACTCGTTGCCAAAATTCTATCAGATTACTCTACGGTACAAAGTTTTAGAGTCTAATAATTCAAACCCTACGACAGCGTTTTTAAACCTTTTTTTTATTATCATCTAACTTTTTCTTAAAAGCATGATTTGTTCGTAAGCAGTTAATATATTTAAGTGTCTGCGGTCTGCCCTGAAGGATGGTATTAAGCTCTTCGCTTTTTGTAAAAATGTCGCTTAACTAGACAATTTTAAGTTGTCAAATTTGATCAGGGAATCGATCTTTAAATCTTTTAATTCAAAATTATGTTCCAAAAAAAGTCACACACCTCATCTCTTAACTAAAAAATACTAGTAAGTACCTTTCCTCAAGATAACCACCTAACCTCAATATGTAAGAGAAGAGAAGTGTGTACTGTTCCCATGCCATCACACAGGATTTTGAAGAGGCCAAGATTTTATGAAGTTTATGATTTTTACGCCCTCATCAAGAGCTTTTTTTAAACTAGTAGATAACTTTTTTGTAGCGAGCGCCTGTCCATGTACCATACAGTGATTAGGACAGTTTTTGGCAATATTTTTAATACATTTTACAGCTCCATTATTTATACCACTCTTAGCCTTTCCACC